TACGAATTTTCCATTCGGAAAATTCAATTTCAAGAAGTCAGCGACGTTTTCGCCGAATATCTCGGGAACTGGAGGAGCTAGAATTATTTTTGAGAAATCCTTTTTTGTAGATCTGATCGAGATCTTCAAAAAAGATCCCCACGAAATTCTTCTATCTTTTTTTATTTTCTTAATGTCCTCCAAAAACGGAATTCACGAATTCATTTCTTCTTTCTAAAAAATAATTAAAGCTCAAATTGTAGAAATGGAATTTCTATGGGACTTCCAGCTTTCTTTCTCCGTACAACCTAGAAATTCTATTCCCCTGGAATTTCTAGCTTGATATTCTCTAAAAATCGAAGCTCAAGCTCTTCCTGTTCATCCCAAACAAATCTCTTCCAATAATTCACAATTGATACTTTCCATGATATTTTCCACAAACAATATTTTGAATTGGCGAACAGTTTTCTTCTAGCCAGTCCCCCAAAACTTCCGCATCACCCACCAATTCATTAAACCAAATCAAACAAAACTCCCATTATCAGTGCCTCGATAACAATTCACGCTACCCAATCCCCAGGTGAGATCGTCGATTCGCTTTGTCAGTTAAGTATTCGTTCCCCTCGAAAGATCATTCAATCGTACACTCCAAAGTTGAAATGTAAATTCTCCAGAGCTTTAACTATTGAATATAAAAAGAATATCCTTCAAAGCCCTCGACATGACTCTAATGAAGACAATTACATCTCAAATAGTTCAGGATCAATACCCATCCTGGGAGGAATCACGAGTTGTGAATACCCCAGGAACTCATGGAACTCCTTGTGCTTTCAATTCAAATCTCCATCGATCAATCGACGTTGAGGATTTAGCAAGTGTTTTCGGTAATACCGTGAAGAATAATTCTCACCCAAAAATTCAACACTCACGGCATCACCGAGTGTTCCGTCCCAATCAGATATCGCGATCACCAGCTTATCAGCGAGTCCAGCCGGAGCGTTTCAATTGTTCAAGTGATTGCTACGAATTCTCATCGATTTATGATAATTATAATTGCAATGGGAATTTTTCTGGTGGCATTCAGCAGTCATTTGGCATTCCTTGTACAGAGGCCCAGTGGTTGGCCTGTCCTGTCAATGATTGTCCAGCTTTTCAGGATAGAGCTGGACAGGGGTTGGGCTGGAATTGGAATTTAACCTCGGCTTATCCGAGTTTGTGTCTAGACGGATCAGAATGTCGTGCCTATCAGACCGATTACAGGAGTTGTCCACTGGTTAATGATGAGAGACAGTGTCTAGAGGATTATTTGTAAGTTGAAAGTATCTGTGAGTT